TTACAATCAGTGCAACTTTCTATTAATTTTAATGTCCCAAGTAATTCATTTAAAATCTTATTAATTCTCAATTGTTTATCACAAGAATGAACTTCATAAATTGGTTACATAATAAATCATATCTTGGATAAATTGATTCAATCAATAGTTTTAATTTGTTCAACAATTCAATTGCTTCCATCTTTAAACGATAATACTTTGTTTAGAAATATTATTTAAATGTATCACCAAAATTTTCAATCATAATTATAGTGAATTAAAATTGCAAATCTAATAATTGAATAACATAAAGAACCACTGGAAATTGAAGATTGTATTAATTATGAATACAATCAATACAATCATGAAACTGAAGCGATGCCTGGATTAGAAAAATTTGCTGCTCTTGTCTTAAATAAAGAAGAGGAAGAAGATTAGAATATTATTATTCATATTAAGGCTAAGGAGAATCCATTATAAAGTTGTAAAATCTTCTTGCTTATACACAACAACAGCAATAATTTATAATGGAGCAAGGGATTAAATTATTAAGTCGGAAGCTAAATTATAATCACATGATATCCGCATGATTTATATGAATGTAAAATGAGTATATTTTGTGATGTTGAATTCGAAAATATTGAATATTTAGCTAAAGATGGTTTTGGTGAAGTTCATAAAGCGAGATGGATTTACTATAACTATACGTTAAATGATAATCTGGAAACAAATGTGGTATTAAAAAGATTATATGATTCAAATGATAATATTTTAAAAGAGGTAAAACTTTTTAATATTAATCTTTATAAATGTTATATTTATAATTTTTAGTTAATGATAAATAGTGTAATGGGTCTTTTTGTCAACAAATGCTTTGGAATTACAAAAGATCCAAGCATAAATGAATATATGTTGGTATTCGAATGTGCTAAACATGGAGATATACATAATTATTTATCAAAAAATTTCAAGGAAATTACTTGGGAAGAGAAAATTTATTCAGTTTATAGTTTTCAGATGAGTAAGTTTAAATTTTATTATTAAATTAAATTTTTTTTTATAAAATTAACTTTATACATTTTATTATTATTATTAAAAACATTAGATTAAAGTTTATAATTATGTTCATCGTGACTTGCACAGCGGCAATATTTTTTCTCATTGTTATTATAATAATAATTTTTGGTGCTTTTAATTTTAGGATTATGTCAAAAAATTAATAGGTAAAGATGAGAATCCAAAAGAAATCTTTGGGGTCATTCCATACCTGGCACCTGAAGTATTATTATCAGGCAAATAATATACAAAAGAACCAGACACATATAGTTTTGGGATGATTATGTGGGAATTCACCACAGGTAAAAAACCTTTTTATAATGTGCCACAAACAAATGTGGTATTAAAAAGATTATATGATTCAAATGATAATATTTTAAAAGAGGTAAAACTTTTTAATATTAATCTTTATAAATGTTATATTTATAATTTTTAGTTAATGATAAATAGTGTAATGGGTCTTTTTGTCAACAAATGCTTTGGAATTACAAAAGATCCAAGCATAAATGAATATATGTTGGTATTCGAATGTGCTAAACATGGAGATATACATAATTATTTATCAAAAAATTTCAAGGAAATTACTTGGGAAGAGAAAATTTATTCAGTTTATAGTTTTCAGATGAGTAAGTTTAAATTTTATTATTAAATTAAATTTTTTTTTATAAAATTAACTTTATACATTTTATTATTATTATTAAAAACATTAGATTAAAGTTTATAATTATGTTCATCGTGACTTGCACAGCGGCAATATTTTTTCTCATTGTTATTATAATAATAATTTTTGGTGCTTTTAATTTTAGGATTATGTCAAAAAATTAATAGGTAAAGATGAGAATCCAAAAGAAATCTTTGGGGTCATTCCATACCTGGCACCTGAAGTATTATTATCAGGCAAATAATATACAAAAGAACCAGACACATATAGTTTTGGGATGATTATGTGGGAATTCACCACAGGTAAAAAACCTTTTTATAATGTGCCACATGATCATCATCTGATAATGGATATTCTTGGAGGAATGAGACCTAAAATCACCAAGGACACTCCTGAATTCTATGCTGAATTAATGAAAAAATGTTGGGATTCAAATCCAAAAAATAGACCAACTGCTATTGAACTTAAGGAATGTCGTTCTATGGCTAGGAGAGATCATTGAATTAGCAGAATCAAAACGCCAAGAGATAATTAAATCAGAAAAAAATCTTTCAGGAGCAAAGAATTATAAACACCATGTAGATTGCATTCTATACAAGCCGTCCACTTCGTAAATTAATTGACCGGGCTAAATTACAAAATAAATTGGGCCAACAATCTACTATATCAACAGATTATGATGATGATGATGATGATAATTCATCTGATAACAAAATTCAACCAAATACTTTAATTGAATATGATCTTAACAATAATGATTCAGTATTTATGCCAATGCATATGAAATGAAAATGATGGCAATGATGATAATGATGATGCTGATGTTAATGATAGTGGCGTTGATATTGGTAATGATAAAAGAAACGATCAAAAATGCTTTTTAAATAATAAAGTTTATAGTTTTATGATCTCTCTAAAAAAATTTATTCAATATACAATAATAAATTAAATTATAAAATAAACAAATAAATAAATGAATAAAATAAATTAATTAATATACAAAATAATCTATATAATATATATATATATAATCGTGATTTGTGACAGGTTAGTTAACCAAAGTGATTTTGTTTTCTATTACAAGACTTTCAAAATGATTGTTAATTTGCTCCCTTATTTTTTTTTCACCACTTTGTTTTTGATCTTGTCGTAGAAGATCTGCGGCAATTTCTTTTTCATTGATTAATTCATAGTCGTTATCGTCACCATAGTTGGTTGAATTTTTATTTTTAAGCATCCTGTTAATATCTTGTACAAGATGAATTGCTCTTTTGAATCTATCTTTGGCTGACAAATTACTTTTGACCTTAGATCGGAAGAGCACACGTCTGAAACTCCAGTCA